GACCTCTTCCTCATCGCTGTCGGACGGGGACTCTAGGTCTTCGTGGTGGGTTGATACCGGGTGTCTCTCTGAGCGAGGCGAGCTATCAGTGGCGAGTTTACGTAGCGGTGCGTTGGTGCGGCACATTTGGGCAGCCGACTTCTTTGTCGCCTCCGCTGCCGCGGCTTCTTTAAGGGCATCGGTGAGGCTGATGTCCCCCTTAGCCATAATTTTGCTCTGGATAGCACCGTCTTCTAGGCCCAGAACCAGGCGGTCCCGGAGGGCTTCTTCTAAGTCTGCGAACCCGCAGAGGCCTCCTAGGTTCCGGAGGTCTGCGATGTAATTAGCAAGGCTTTCGCCCTTCCGTTGGTCCCTCTGGTAATATTCGTGTCTTCTTACTAGGGTTGGCACGGTGGGCGCGTAGTGAGCCCGTAGTAACGGCTCGAGGATGTCCCAGTCCATTTCTTTTACCTCTGCTGGCTTGGCAAGCGACTTTGCCATTTTAAACACAGTTGGTCCACAATGAGTTAGGAAGATAGCTCTTTTTTTGCCGGTTGTCGCATCTTTCAAATTGTTGGTTTCTAGAAACATCTGGAACCGATCCATGTAGGCCTCCCAGTCTTCGGTTTCCGGATTGAATGGAGCGGGTGGTACGGCACCGCTGGCCATGTTGCCGTTGATGGTGCGTGTTCGACCACGTGCTCTGTTAGTTGCTCTGTAGGTTAGTCAGCTCTTCGGTCTCCGAATCCCACCTTCATCGCCAGTGTTAAGTATGGAGAATGACGGAGACCAGACATCTGACCAGTGACTTCAACTCTTTAATAAGTAATAGAACATAACAGAGCAATGCTATGGGCAGCAGTAACCCTTTTATAAGGTTAGCTGCTGTCTTATTAACCAATGAAAATGTGCAACAGGTTCAAACTACTGACCAATAAGGACAGTCCCAAAAGTGGCCAATCAGGGACTGGTTCTGGCCCAATCCCAAGTTGTTGTATAAGGACCAATCAAGTGTGCAGGTTTTCAACCCCTAATTTGCATTTAGGTTATTCACTTTTATTGATTCACAACACCCATTGTCAAAGCCAACAACTGCAACCTCTCTTACATCCTCTTGGTCTCCCTCTTGCTTTGCTTCTTGTCCTTGTCCTCAGCCATGAATCTCTTTTTTCTTCATTGGACAGCCAAGGAAAGCCACCTGTCTTCTCTGACAAACTATGTTCAGCATTGTCTTCTCAATAGCTGTGTCTTCTATGTTGGCCAAAACGATCACAGTGTCTACTTTAATTGTGTTGTTGCTGCCATGGGAAGGGTAGGGTTTTGTAATGGTTTTATTATATGATGAAATTTTAAATTTTTAAATGTTGTAACTAGCTCCTATTCACCTATCTGTGAGTTGAGCAGCTATATACACTTGTAAATACATAAGGTACATACAGGGGTGGGATTCTACCAGTACTGTCCGGTTATATAGAATTGGTTGTTATGATTCTGCGCAGTTTGGAGAACCGGCAAATCACACCACTGGCTGATCCCACCCCTCTCCGCCCACCCTTCCCATCCTCTCCCCACCCAGTCAGTCCTTATCACACATGGCATTGCCTGCTGCCTGCTTTTGTCCACCAGCCAGGCCAGCTATTGCTGCCTGCCTTCCGCTGTGGCCCTGCCTGATCTCCCTAGGTGAGTGAGGCTTTGCAAGCTCTGGGGCCCAGTCACCTACCTGCCACTGCCGGTCACCTTCCTTGCCCCCACTTGCCTTTTGCCACCGCCAACTGCCACCATAACCTGGGCTACCAGGGAGCATGACACTTTGCCTCCCACATGGCCCCTTTGTCTGCCACCCCTCCCCTCTCCCACCCACAGCCCCTTTGTTGGACCTGGAACAATTGCCGCTGGTTGGCCCTGCCACGTCCACCTGGTTGCACTCGTGTCATCAACAGGCAGCATCATTTTGAAGTTGAGGGAGAAGTTGGGGAAGGAGTTGGAAGGTTCTGCAGTGGCCAGCACAGGAGAGCCACTGAGAAGGGGGGAAGTGGCCTTCTAGTGATCTAACCCGGCATTTAGGCCGGTGGGCCATGGGAAGACAGAGCACCGAGGGAAAGGGGGATTGCCAGGGGAAGCCGCTCTCTCAGTGCCGAATTGGGACCATTCAGGATAGCCCTAGGAATTAGGTGAGCCGAGCTGCAGCTCCTTGCCTTTTTAGCTCAGGGAACAGCCATTTTCTGCAGGAGGAGCACTGTGGAGGGGGGAGATCTACCTGATCGACTGTTCTGGTGTCTTCGCCAGATTATTTGGACATTTTCAAGTGAGCACAGCTAAAGGTGCTGCTGTTGCACATCAGCCCAGGCTTCATTCCATAGCTCTGTAAAGCCAACACCAAAGAAGTGGGTGTCCAGGTGAACCCGTGGGCGGATGCCATGGTGCCATGCTCACTCAGATCTTGGCTGCTCCAGGTCCTCCGATCTCAAAGCCCATCAGGCCGGCTGAACTGGGAGCCGCCATCCCCAGGCTTCTACTAGCCCATGCTTGGTCGCCACCTCTTCACCTTGCCTAAAGCAGCTGGCCCCTCCCTCACCTAGCCTGAGAAGGTAAGGGCAACGGCAGGGAATAGCAAAGCAGCTGAGTCCCTTTCTTCCCCTCTCTCTCCCCCTCTCTGTTTCTGTCTCTCTGTCTCTCTCTGTCTCTTTCTCTCTGTTTTTCTCTCAAAGCCATGGCTGGGCCAAGCCAGCAAGCTCTCCTTGGCACTTTTCACTACTTCTTTCATTTCTTCTTTTTGGAATCCAGACTGGCTGAACAATGATTGCCAGCTGTGGTGGAAGTGTCCCTTCGGGCGACCCTTTTCTTCTTCTTCTTCTTCTTCCTCCTCCTCCTCCTCCTCCTCCTCCTCCTCCTCCTCCTCCTCCTCCTTCTCCGCCCCCTCCGCCTCCTTCTCCTTTTTTGACCGGCAGCTGTGGTGGGGCTGGGAAGGTGCACACATGCAGGGAGATGCTCCTCAAGCGAGTGCCAAAGCACAGCAAAACCAGGCATGGGGCAGGAGGCTGATCGCTTGAGGAGGGTCTCCCCGTGTGTGTGTACCCTCCTGGCCCCACAGCTGCCAGTTGCGAGAAGAGGAGGAGGAGAAGGGTCACCCAAAAGGGACACTTCCACCACGGTTGACGATTGTTTTTCAGCCAATCTGGATTCCAAAAAGAAGAAATGAAAGAAGTAGCAAAGAGTGCCAAGGAGAGTTTGCTGGCTTGGCCCAGCTGGCTTTGAGAGAGACACACAGAGAGAGAGAGAGAGAGGGGGGAGAGAGAGAGGGGAAAATAGGGAGGGGCAGAGAGAGAGAGAGAGAAAGAGAGACAGAGGGGGGAGAGGCACAGAGAGAGAAGGGGGAGAGGGAAAGAGAGAGAAAAAGAGAGGGAAAGTGAGAGAAAGAGGGAATGAGAGAGGGAAAGAGAATGAGTCAAGAAAGGAAAGAAAGAGAATAGAGAAAGAAAAAAAAGAGAAAGGAAGTGAAAGGAAGAAAAGGGAGAGATAAAGAAAGGGAGAGATGGAAGGGAGGGACAAAGAAAGAAAAAGAAAGAAAGAGAGGGATGGAGGGAGGAGATAGTGAATGAAATATATGGATGGATGGATGGATAGATACATGGAGGGATGGAGGGAAGAAGAAAAAAAGGAGAGGAAGGAAGAACACAAACCCTGGCTTCAGAAGTCTCTGAAATAGCATGGCAATCTAGGGCTGGAAGGGATCTCGGAGGTCATCTTCTATCTAGTCCAACCCCCTGCTCCAGCAGGAGATCGTTACAGAATCATAGAATAGCAGGGTTAGAAGGGAGTGTGTGTGTGTGTGTGTGTGTGTGTGTGTGTGTGTGTGAATGGCTGTCAAAACTCTAAAAACAGGTCAAGTAGGTCTCGGGAGGTCAGCAACCCGCTATTAAGTGGGGACCACTTGTATTTGGTTTGCCAGTCACATGGCCACCTGGCCACACCCAGCCAGTCATGTGACCACCAAACCATGCCCACCCAGTCACATGACCACCAAGCCACACCCATAAATTAGGCCATGCCCACAGAACTGGTTATTAAGAAATTTGGATCCCACCACTGGGTACATACATACATACATACATACATACATACATACATACTGTCGGGGGAATAATTGGATTATGAGTATAGCTGCACTTAACAACAATTGAAAAAACAGCACACCTTAAAAGTCTCACTTTTAGGATTCAGAGGTTTATTAGAATTTAAAGCACAACAAACATAAATTCACTTACATTAATCACATTGCAATGAGGGCCAATCAGACAAGCAGTTAAATGGGACAGCTTGAGGCTGATTTGCAACTTCCTATTACTCACCTTTGTCTTTTTTTACCTTAAAACGACATCATGTGACTTTCCAGATCTTTCCACACTGTCCTAGCAACAGGGGCAGTTTTCCATTCCTTTAACCTCAATGTTACAACATGATTATCTCTAAATGTGCTTTAAGCATACACTTCCTCTTTTCGCATAGCCTCAGCCCCAATCATTTCAGCATATAGGGAACAACAGTCTTCATGTTAGCTACTATTTCATCAGATGCACATGTCCTTTAAACTTGCATCAGGCAATTAATATCAATATCGAACCCATCTCAGGCCCCCTGAACTTTACTGTGCTGGAAGGGGGTCCCCATTATTTTCCCCTTACAATATATGCATACATGCATACATACATAGACAGTCATTGTAAATGGGAATAATTGATGAAATTTGGAGTCCTTGCACTGCAGAAAATGGCACAGGACTGACCTCCCTCAGTGTCCTTGACCATTTATCTGATCATTCCTAAGGGAATACAGTAAGTCTGGAGAGGTTCTTGTAACATGGGGGACTAACAATAGCACTTCTATTTGATCCTGCTCATGAGTGGTTCATGAATTGCTTGTGCCTAATGTATTATCTTTGATTCCTGTGTACATAATAGACATAATAAATATCTTCACCTAAATAACTTTCCAGTTCTTCCAATATTATAATGGTTTATGTTTCATATTTCTACATTTATTCTGCCAGTAAGTTGTTTCTTTGTGTTCAGGTCTGGCCTGAGAAGGATAATGTAGCACTTGGGGATAAAGATACAGCCAAGAAGACCAGCACTGGAGGCCAAGATGGAGAAGACCTGAACAGCCACCATATATTTCCCCTTGGTGCTCAGATAGGTGGGGACAAAAGTCACCCAGACGCTACAGAAGACCAGCATGCTGAAGGTGATCAGCTTGGCTTCATTGAAGGCCCCAGGCAGGTTCCTGGCCAGGAAAGCCACTGTGAAGCAGATGACAGCCAGGAAGCCCATGTAGCTGAGGGTGATGTAGAACATGGCAACAGACCCTTCATTGCATTGCAGGATGATCTCTCCAGGCTGGGAGTGGAGGTCAGAGTCAGGGAATGGGGGAGAAATTCCCAGCCAGATGGAGCAAATGATAACTTGGACAACAGAACAAGAAAAGATGATGGAATTGGCCAAACTTTTCCCTAACCACCTCTTCATTTGGTTTCCTGGTTTTGTGGCCAGGAAAGCCAGTACCACCGTGATAGTTTTTGCCAATACAGAAGATACGGCTACTGAGAAGACAATGCTGAATACTGTTTGTCGGAGAAGGCAGGTGACTTTTCCTGGTTGACCAATGAAGAGGAAAGTAGACAAGAAGCAAAGCAGGAGGGAGACAAGCAGGATATAAGAGAGATCCCGGTTGTTGGCTTTGACAATGGGAGTTTCTCGGTATTTAATGAATATGATTGAAATAAATCCCGTGATTAGGAATAATAGTAGAGCAAAAGAGGTCAGAATGATGGCCAGATATTCTTCATAAGTCAGAAAGGTTATAACTTTTTGGATACATTGGACTCTCTTCTTATTTGAGTATTGATCATCTGGGCACTTGGTGCATTTTTCCGTATCTAAGAAAACAAAAAGGATTTTTTTTTTAAAAAAAATAATTTCTTCTTTCAAAGTTCAAGAGTCACTGAATACTAGATGGGTGACAAATAAATTTCTTAATCAATTAATCAATCAAATTGTAGCTTCTTGGGACAACAGCTGATACATTGAACATTTCCCAAGATGTAAATCTTAGCATTTTGATATCAAAAAAGTTATATAACAATGAAACTATATTCAGACAACATTGGCTCCCTTGGCCAAGAAACTGAGATGAACACCATCCACTAGAGTTGGACATGACTGGACATGGGAAACCTTTACTTTTACCTATGTCTAGTTCAAGTGATGAAACACAATGAATCTAAGACAATTCCTCAAGTTTCAAAGAATTGAGAAGTTCCTAAAAGGTAAACATGGAAAGAAACAGCCAAACAAATAGGTGGAAGAGATATTTTTCTCAGGCAGTCGTAAAGCCACTCAATCTGCCACATCTATTTCTTCCCAGATCTTTCTTCAAGTTTTGCATTCTTCCCTTTAGATAGGAAATTATGCAGTTTGAAAATAAACAAGAAAACAATTGAGCTTCAATGTGACTTTTAATCCAAATGCTCTGGATAAATCCATTTCAACAAGACCCACCTTTCCTCTGGTGTCACTCACCTTCCTGAGTGGAGATGGTCCCTTCTGGACAAGAAACACAATCATAGCAGCAAACTGGTTCTCCTTCCCGAGCCTGCTTGAAAAATCCAGGACGGCAATTTTCCACACATTTGGACTGAGGCAGAGACTAAGCAGAAATAGAAAGAAGCCAAAGTTAATATCTTAGGACTCACTGAGGTGAATATTTCTAACCTCAGCTAAAAGTATCCAAGAGCTTCAAACAGTTATAAGTGTATCCTCTGCATATTTCTCATGGCAATGACATATTGTTGTGCTTTGTAAAGTTTTCAGGGACAAAATGAAAAAGATTTAAGTATTTCTATTATTCTTTACTATTACCTATCTCTTCCTACTTATGACTGTAACTTTGTTGCTTGTATCTTTACGATTTATGTTGACTGTTTCCTAGTATGATTTGATTGCTTATTGTACCTTATGACTATTATTAAGTGTTGTACCTTATGATTCTTGACTCTTGATGAATGTATCTTTTCTTTTATGTACATTGAGAGCCTATGCACCAAAGACAAATTCCTTGTGTGTCCAATCACACTTGGCCAATAAAGTATTCTATTCTATTCTATTCTATTCTATTCTGTTCTGTTCTGTTCTGTTCTGTTCTGTTCTGTTCTGTTCTACCTTATGATTCTTGATGAATGTATCTTTTCTTTTTATGTACACTGAGAGCATTTGCACCAAAGACAAATTTCTTGTGGGTCCAATCACTCTTGGCCAATAAAGAATTCAATACAAATCTAATCAAAGGAGGCCAATGGAGTTCTTTAGAGCAGGGGTGGGATACGACAGGGTTAACTACCGGTTCGGGATTTACGAGCTTCCCTGCACACTGTGAGCTGTGCGCCTGTAAATCATCATCAGCATGCTGCGTGCAGAGAAGCAGTCTTTCAAAAAGCCCCTTTTTCCTGCTTTTTAAACTGCAGCTGTGCCTCGCACGGCAGCTGAAGTTGAAAAAAATCTGGAAATAATGGTCAGGTAAGAGCCCGGGTGGGTGGGTGGGCAAAAACATCAGCAGACATAGAACCGGTTCTATGTTTACTGCTCTTCAGAGCTATCAGTTTTACAGAGGTGGACAGAACTGATAGAAACCCACTCCTGCTTTAGTGGGACACTTTCATTCAAGGGGGCTTCAATTGTAATTCCTTTTACAAGCCAAAGGCCAAATCAAACTAGCATTTTCCTTCAAACTGTCTAACATTATTTCCTTTGGGTCAAAGTTATGTTTCAGGTCTTCAATTTTCTGAGTGAGGGTTCTTTTTCAAGTCAAATCATGATGTTTAACTATAATTATTTCATATGAACTGAAACCCTTGGACCTCCTTCCTAGGAACAGAAGGCCTATTGCTATTCAAACTGGTGTGAATGTAGCTTTCTTCCCAATATTCAGTTCTGAATGTAGATCATCCACATTGGTGATTAGGCTCAGTGTACTTGAAATGGGTCTGGTCTTAAAACTGTAAACAGAGAAAAGAAGATTATAGTTTCCAAACCTTCCCGAGTAACTTGAGCTGTGATAGAGTATTTGGGTTGATAGTAAGTTTCTGCCTTTCAAAAGTCCCCAGTTGCTCTTCGATGAAGGGGTCATCTGGGATAATCACCAAACTTATGACATCCAGGTCAGCTGCTAGATCTCCATTTGGGTCCAGATAAAGTTTTTCCCGGGAAATATTGTAAAACACATTCTTGTCCAAGAAATGATGCAACTAGAATGGAAAAATCCAGTAATTCCAAAAAAAGAAAAAGAAAAACTAGTTTTCTAATCCTACTTGGTCTTTAGATATTTAAATTTTCCACTGTTGTCTAAGTTGCAAATATTCTTAAATGAGAAACTATTGCCCTATCTTCAAAAGCAACAACAACAACAGATTTAGAAAATCACAGACTTCTCAGATACAGATAATCAGAGTTGGAAGGGACCTTGTAGGTCATCTAGTCCAACCCCCCCAAGCGGGAGACCCTACACCATTTTGGACAAATGGCAGTCCAATCTCTTCTTGAAAGTCTCAAGTGATGGCGCTTCCACAACTTCCGAGGGCAAGCTGTTCCATTGGTTGATTGTTCTCACTGTCAGAAAGTTTCTCCTTGTTTCCAGGTTAAATCTCTCCTTATTCAGTTTCCATCCATTATTCCTTGTCTGGCCTACAGGAGCTTTAGAAAATAGCTTGACCCCTTCCTCCCTGTGGCAGCCCCTCAAATATTGGAAGACTGCTATAATGTGTCCCCTGGTCCTTCTCTTTACTAGACTAGCCAAGCCCAGTTCCTGCAACCATTCGTTGTGTGTTTTAGCCTCCAGTCCCCTAATCATCCTGGTTGCTCTTCTCTGTACTTTTTCTAGAGCCTCAACATCTTTTTTATAATGTGGTGACCAAAACTGGATGCAGTACTCTAGGTGTGGTCTTACTAAGGCTTTATAGAGCGGTAATAATACTTCCCTTGATCTTGACTGTATCCCTCTGCTAATACAACTTCGAATTGCATTGGCTTTTTTGGCGGGTGCTGCACGCTGCTGGCTCATATTTATCTGGTTGTCCACTAAGACTCCAAGATCCCTCTCACAGTTACTGCTATTGAGCCTGGTTTCACCCAGTCTATATGTGTACTTTTAGTTTTTCTTGCCTAAGTGTAGGACTTTACTTTTCTCTATATTGAATTTCATTTTATTAGATATAGCCCAGTGTTCTAGTCTGTCAAGATCCATCTGGATCTTGAGCCTATCTTCTTGGGTGTTAGCTATTCCTGCCAGCTTAGTATCATCTGCAAATTCTCAATCCAATATCAATTTATGTGAAAATCTAGAGCAGATCTTAAAGGAATCACTCTTAAAAATGAAGACAGTGAAGTAATTGCTAAAAACTAAGGATTTGAGAGATCAAAGTTCATGAGGTTAATCTTCCAATTTTTTAAATTAGATCATTTTCTTAATAGATTATGGGAATTCTATTGATAAAACACATCTTGATTTTTGCAAAATTGGGAGTCAGCCAGTAAAACAATGCAGAGGAGAAAGCTAGTCTTATGCTGAAGCCAAAGGCACTTCTCTGGGCAAGGAGAAAGCTTTTGAGATGGCCCATCTATGCTCCAAAAGGCTGTTCCTTAAGGGATCCATTGGGATCATGTCAGCTTCTCTTTAGAGTGCTGACAACTTTAGAGATCAGCCAGCTCCAAAACTCAGATGAAGACTGTTTACTGACTCCGGATTCACCAAGCCTACTGTCCAAAGCACAGTTCTTTTTTTTTTTGGAAAAATACTTTATTAGTTTTACCTTTAAAAGAACAACACAACTACAAATTATGTACAACAAAAAGACAAATAGGCCTTGGCATAGACCAAGAGGGAGAGAGAGGAAAGCCTAAGAGAGGGGAAAGGGAAGAGTAAGGGAGGGGAAGGATAGAGTAGGGAAAACAGTTAAAATAAAACCATATTTTGTGACTGTCTGTAAGATCCTTTCTTCTTCAAAAGTATCATCGGCGGTGCTTTTCTTTATCTCTGCTTCGAAGGCCCTCGGCCATAATTTTCCTAGAGGTGATCTATCTTTGGTTTAGCCAATTATACAAAGGATTCCAATTGTTGTAATAGGATGAGGATTCTTTATTTTTTAGTGCTTGGGTTAGTTTGTCCATTTCGGCGCATTGTAAAATTTTCTGAATAACCATATGTTCAGTGGGAATGGAAGATAATTTCCAGCACTGGGCAAATGCCAGTCTGGCTGCGGTTAAGATATGAATTACAATATACTTCGATTTTTTGGGTATTTGTTTATCGAAAATTCCTGGAAGGAAGGACTCTGGTTTGTACTCTATTTGTTCCTTGGTTATTTCCTCTAGCCAGCGCCTAATTTTTTGCCAGTACTTCTGGGTTTCCTTGCACGACCACCACAAATGGAAGAAGGTACCTTCTATGCTTTGACATTTCCAACAATTGGGGCTCGTGTTGGGGTGCATCTTCGCCAATCTCGAAGGGGGCAGGTGCCATCTATAAAACATTTTATATGTGTTTTCTTTATAAGCTGCTGATTTCGTGATCTTAATGTTCCTGTTCCAGATCCTTTCCCATTCTGCTAGAGTAATGCTCCGTCCCATGTTTCTGCTCCACGCAATCATATTTCCTTTGACAATTTCTTGTTCTAATTCAGTTTCTAATAAATGTTTGTAAAATTTAGATATATTTTTTTTGCTCGGTCCTAATAGAATTTTTTCTAAAGTCTGTAATTTATTGTAGATTCCAAATTCCTTAATATCTTGTTTATATCTACTATGAATTTGAAGGTACACCCACTGATCAATTTTAAATCCTCGCTCTTGTAATTCTTGTCGGGTTTTCAGTTTCCTTGTGGGTC